TGATATTTGTCTCAAACTTATGAGAGTTCAACTAAGAAACATAGGGTCTAGATTAACTAATTACACCAAAATTAGCGTTGAAATTAGCTTATGATTATGATGTTAATCCGAAAATATTGCATGGAAATTTTGAATGGCGAAACTGTAATAACTTCAGCGGCTCGCTTTGAGCTTAACTTCCTGTTGCATTAGATTCTTGTCGCTTACAAACACTTGCGCTGGATATTCACGCTGTGATGGCCTCTTCTCTGTGCTCATCGGTCATGAGATTAGCTGTGAATTGCCGTCAGTTGTCTGTGAACCTGTTGCGTCTTCAAGGCCCTGAGCACAATTTAATAACCCAACATTCAATACTGAAATTGGTCTGTAAATCGTTATGACGGAACAATCAGATTTTAAAGGTGTGTTCTTGTCAGCTTCACTTAGAATATATCCAAGTTTCCGAGTTTGCATTGTTGAGATCAGAAAAATTCGGAGCTCTGTTGATTTCAGTTCCATTCAGTTTTCCGTGATAAACATTGTTCTTCTCGTCCGCCAAATTTGTTTCACTTACTGCAAAGCGCTGTAAGACATCTCGAGAAAATGACGAATTAAAGCTTATTTTACGAACCCTCTTTGAGGGTGCATTCTCTTGTAGGTCACTGTTTAGTGGCAGCGATGTTTTTCTTGTGGCCTTTGGTTTGACGGGGAATTCAAGTGATTGTTCGTTGTCTGTGCCCTTCGCAAAGCTTGCTGTTAAGTTTAACTTCTCATCTAAGTATGCGCTGAAGCTTTGCGCCAAAAACTGCTGACTTGCGCGTAAAACTTCCTCCGTCATTGCCCCTTGGATTGGATGCCGCCATTCCTGACTATCGTCACTAACAGACGGCCAGCTGTTCAGACTAGAGGTCGAGCTATTCATGTAACGAAAGAGCAAATGTTCTTTACCAGCTCTTAGAATAGCTGACGCCAAAAGAAAAACGATGCCTTCTCCTGTAGCAACATCTATTGCAAGCTTGCCATCAAGAGACAAAGAAGTGACGTCAATACAAGAGTTGACGAGAAAGTTGACAACATCCAGGTGCCCTCCGAACGCAGCGTAATGTAGGCACGTCCAGCCGCGGTCATCTCGCATTTCTAACTCGGCCCCGTTCTCCACTAATAGCCTTACAACTTCTAACTGTCCAGAAAAACAGCTTTTATGGAGCACTGTTACCCCGTCGTCATCCTGTTCATTGACTTTCGACCGGTAATACTTCAGAGCAAATTTAAGCTGTGCAAGGTCATTCCCTTCTATCGCTTGTTTAAATAAATCTGCCACGCTCTTCCTCTTGGGAGGTTGTGTCATCTTAAAAGCTCTATATTACTGCAAGTGTTAGATAAGTGCGCTCATCCAGGAGAGTTATCACTTTCATCTTGCCAATGTACTTCAAACTGACAAGATATGAACACAAAGAGTACAAAGTGACGTAGATAATAAATTCCTGCTTTAAACGCTTCAACAATCCCTTTATTATGAAAATATGGAGTGTCCATGAGGATAATGCACTCCGACTTAAAATGGCATTGTCAAGGAAACTCCTATTTAATTTAAACGTGTAGTTTATTTGTTAAAATGTTCCACTTAACAAGGAACTTAAAAATAAGGCTTTTGTTTTTATAATTCTTGCTTTTTGAGTTTCCTAAAAAGAGTTTTACGAGGCCATAAATCCAAAAGAAATAATTAGAAGTAATTTTAAGTACCTTTACTTGGGTCCGCTGTCTTAATTAACAAAATTGACCTTTGAAAGCTTCTTTGCGTTTCGGGAGTCTTAAAATTGTTTGAACTAAGGATATGTAAATCACTATAGCCGTTTTGATTACTGAAGTAATTAGCGTTTTAGTAAATAAACGGCGGTTTAGCACCAGCGTGCGACAAACCACAAAAGAAATAACTAACGCGTTAATGAAGCAGTTTTGATTATTTATATTACTCTGCTCTACACCTTATTATCTGAGCATGAGCAACGCAGTGAGTTCCATCTCTCCTGGCTCTCGGCTTGCCTGCATCCATGGGTTTTGGCGGAATTGTATTCGTCACTTGTCGCGTCGTGCATTTCATGAACAACATTTTAAAAAGTCAATCGTACTGATTTACAAGCCGACTTGTTTACTGGCTAGAATCAATTGTTTTATAAGATCAACCATTCACAAAATTCCTTACGGATTCATTCTTAATGGGAGCAAGACTTACACTATTGCTTGTCAAAGCTTTGATATTTCGTGACAAAAAGGAATTCCTATTGAAAAGTATGTTGCAACTTGTTACCTTTTTTAAGATAGAAGGTTTGTAACTACAGCACGACAGGGTTCCCGCTGTTTCTATTCTTTGCCTTTACTTTGTTTATTGGGTGTGTCACAGATGAGGGTACATATGTCTTTTGTTTCAGGTTCGGTTATTAGCGTGCTTGGTTTTCGGAAAACCACTACTTCTGTAGGATCGGAAATCAGTGTTATCACGAAATGTGATTGACTCAGTGGGAATGGCGACAGTCTGCCTGATATTATGCCAAGACCGCCGGCTTATTAAACCAAGACGCTGTATTTGCTGTGCTTTCAAATCTGTATCACTGGATTCAACTCACGCAATGTCATTTGTAATGATTTCAAGTCAGCTTACTGGATATACCACGACTGACATCAATCTGATGACTGTTGTGGCAATGGTTCAAATTATAAGGAGGTTAAACAGCCTTCTGGTAATTTACCATCAGGAACAAAGAAAGGTTTTGATCTAATAAGTAAAGTCCATGAAATAAACTTTTGTAGAGAATTTATAATGTATAGTTTTTAATAGAGGTTAAGTTCGTCAAATCGACAAAATCTAGCTTCCTTTCAGTTAGCCATCGATACCTTCTTTTCTCCACTTTATCTTCATTTTCTTTCTTTATGACAGGAAAAAATGTATGAATATCATAATGTCAACTCAACCCTTTTTTAAAATTATTAAAATTTTTTTTTTACGAAGGCCCTTTGAAATAACGGTCTTGGAAAGAACTTTAAAAAGGCAAAAATGTAGACGAGAGTATAGACTTCATGAAGATGCATTTGCCAGATGTAGAGGAAATTTCATTTTGGCCTTCTACAACTAGCAGTTTTGCAACGAACTAGCATACTGGACTAAAAAGATATACGGACATTCGTGGCACTGATATAAGTCATAAGACCTTAGAATAAAATAATTTTAAGTTCTACTATCTGAAAATGGTAGCTACATAACTGGAGCCTCTCGGCGGGGGAGTATTCGCTCACAAGTTCATAACTTTTGATTAAAAGATCAAAACCCAAGCAAAAATCCACGCATGTGAAAAATACTAAAAACTTTTTCATTTAAATTGTTAGCGACAAATGAGATTTAATTTCAGATATTAGTTACAGCAAAAATGTAGAACGACGACGCGATTCAATTCAGGCAACATTTCTGATAAAATATTGCATTAGTTCCCAAATCAATTCAATTAATTGCTGTGGTGCTAAGAGTTTGATATTATCTAAAGTATATTCAGGGACCATGAAAAGTTATTTTAAGCCATGAAAATAAAAATAGAAAACAGCCGGCGGTAAATAATACTCAGTGGCTTTTCAACCGATCAATAATTTCACTCAAAACTTCATTATTGTTGCATTTGCGAGAAAATTTCTTTCGTCTTGCGTCTTTTTCAATTGCCAAGACTTTCGCAAGTAAAATATAATACCCTTGCTCAAGAGTTTTCTTTCTTCTACTCGAGGAATCTGGTGCTTGACTGACTTGATTCACCCTAGTTTAGTAATGAAACAAAACGATGTTGAAGTACTAATCTATCCGATCCAGGAGAAAACTAGCACTGAGAAAACGAATGGTCAATTTTAGACACTTGATTTGAGCCACTTAAAGCTTGCAGTACTTGCACACTAACTTCAATAGCAACGATCCGCTGCAACGCAAGAGATATATGGTTACTTTAAAAGCATAGGGCGTGAACACAGCACGAAATGGCAACTTTACTGTTCGATAAAGCTGGCGTCATACTACCGTAAAGACACGCTATATGCACCTTTACGCATCTTTCCGAATTTGTATGGGTTAACTTTACAGAAGTTTACGTAGACGCGTAAGTCATGATAAGCGTCCAACTTTACGGAGCTTTATTGTTCAGTAAAGCCGGAGTCAAGAAGTAATTTATACTGACTTACGTGGCGTAAAGATTTTCTTTATAACGCTTATGGTAAGCTTTGTGAGCTCTACTCCCCGTAAAACTGAATTTTATACCAGGAGTTTATGGCCTGGAGTACAAAGTCACGTATATGGACGTGATTTATGCTTCAGTATAGTTCGGAATCAAAAGAAAAGTTGAATTCAGCATGGTCTTACCCCCTACGGTAAACAGGTTTCGTTTCTTTTACAGCTTCTGCTGTTCCTTTCCGTAAAAAAGAAAACTTCAAGCTACCCTTTAGATAACGTTTTCCTTCTTCTACCCTTTCAATAAATTTTTCTACTTTACACTGGAGTGGTCTATATGTCCTATATAGTGTTCGGCAAATAAGTTGATTAACTAGAAATTAAGTCCTATGGCGACACAGGAAGAAAGAATAAGCTATCCACCATACAGTTTCCCTTTAATTTTTTATTGTAACATTTTTTTAATCTCGATGTGCAAATGAAAAACTGCAAAAGTTCATAGCATTGTAAACAAACAACTATGGCTAAGAGAAAATCCTAAATATAATTAAAGCACGACATTTCGAAATATCGTGACTGTTCAGTCTGAAACACATAAATTGTTACACCTGAATGGTTATATCCTGATTGGCTGTTTAAAAATGTTGAGATACCGACCATGGAAAAAAGATCAAAATGTGCTATGAGAACGTTCCCCAGTTGAGGAGGGCGTAGCTGTGACGTCTGTAGGGAGAAAATCACCTGTTCTGTCACTGAGGTGTCTCCGAGCGGCTACGGCACTTATGTAATATTCAATAATTATATATATCCAATCTTATGTTTACACCTAAGTTATGCGAAAGAGTGTTAGCCCCCTAAGTTGTCAGTCATCTGAGTGAGAACAGTCTACTCGAGCCTTTCCAGTCGGCCTATAAATTAAAGTAGCTCACAGCACGGAGTCTGCTTTATTTAGGGTTAAAAAAGATATCCTGAGCTCGATTGATGATAACAAGAGCGTGGTCCTGTTGATGATGCTCGACTTGTCTGCCGAGTCTGATACAGTAGACCATCAGATTCTCCTCCGGAGGCTGCTCAACCGCTTTGGGATTGTCACTTTGTCATTTTGGCTTGTCAGTGGTTCACATCGTACCTAGCAGAAAGAAAACATAGTTTGTATCCAGTCAGTGAACGATCAGCCAGTTGTCTTTTGACTTGCGGTGTTCCTCAGGATTCCTTGCTTAGACCGCTACTGCACACTATGTACAAGGCGCCCCTTGGGGGCATAATGCGTCATCAAGGAGTCTCCTCCATCAATATGCTGACGACACACAAATGTACTGCAAGTGTGTTTAAGACCTTAGATGCTGGCGACCTTGACGAAACCAAACTCTACCTGGAGGCTTTCTTCAGTAGTGTGAATGCCTGGATGCTGCACAACAACTTGCAGTTAAACGATGACAAGACAAATATCCGCATCGTCCTGCTCCCCCCCTGGACTGTCTGCAAGTAGCTAGCGCTAAACTTATTAGTGCTATGTCTGTCTAGGACGTCCTTTGATTGATAGTTCCGCCAAAGTAAGCTAGTTAAACGTTTAAAAGTTCATTTGGGGTCTTGACGATTGCGCTCCGGATGAGTTGATTAGCCACCATTCTAGACAGCTTCATGCTGCAAACGTACAATTTGCTGATTCGTTAAGTTCTGAGCCCTGGGGTACTTTAGACCTGAGGTGAAATACCGCAAACTCCGAAAATTAGCCGCTGGGCTTATATCCAAAGGCCCTTTTTGGAGGGGCTTATAATCGGAGGGAAATTTGCGTTTCAAAATCGGCTAGGCTTATACTGGAAGGGAAATATGCGTCTCAAAATCAATTGGGCCAGCTTATACTTGGAAGGAAATTTATGGCAGCAATTTGCAGCAAGTTTTACTGAAACTCGCCTTGAGGATGTAGATCTTTCTAAACCTCCCCCCTGCAAGTACTATGTCTATATGGACCTAGGAAATCCAAGCCAAGACTGAAGAGTGAACTACGCAAACAGCACTGAATATACCGTGACACTTTTTGACTGCAGTCATTTGGCACACGTGATAGTTCTTTGGCAAATGCAAAAATTTATGTGTTAACTATACAGTTTTTCCTTTGTTTTATTTTGAATTTAAGGGCAATTTACGAGTACAAGTCCCCGGGGGCTTGTATTTGGAGGGGCGATTTATCGGACGGTTTTTTGAGTTACGAGTTTGGGGGGGTGGGGTTATATTTGGAGGGGCTTGTTTTTGGAATTTTACGGCATGTTTGAGCGGAATTTGATAGTTGTAGCTTGGTTAAGCTTGACTCAAAGTAAATCTCTTTGAAATTTACCCCCAAGTTCAATGGATAACTCGGAAAACTATTTAAAAATCTCGAATTTTTATTGACTTGGAGACAATACCTTGGTAGGTGTGTTGTGACATGATTAAGGACGACAATTGATGATTATAAGCTGGGCAAATATGCTTTGGAGTCTGCGAAAATCTCTGGTATTTTATGAATGAGGTTCTGCTTGGCAAGCTAAAGTGCTTGTTATATTTCCTCTGTCTTCAGATTGCCATCACACTTAGACTATACACACATCCCACATCGCATTTTTAAGTCGATCACTCAGCGCAAAGCTAGCAGCAGCTTCTAAAAACCTATGAAAGAGTACAAACTCCGTCGTAAGTTTTCACTGAAACATTTTCGGCTAAGTTAGAAAAAGAGCACTCAGTATAGACCTCTTCATGGTTGATTGTGTCACCTTCTTAACAGTCTTAAAACACCTGTACGTTATGACTAAACACTGACTAAATTATCAGGGTTAAAATTGAAAATTCACAAATTTATACCAGTTTTTGCGGCCTGGAGCCGAAAAGAGCGTACACACTATATTCTAGTATAATTCTCAATGTCCTGTCTGTTTTAAAAGGGAGAAAAGGTTGAAATTAATTTACCGAATGCCTTACAACTTTTTACATTTCAAACATCACTTTTACCTTTACATAAACAAACAAAACCTTGGCCTCTTAACTCTATCAAACGCGTTTTCACTTTTTATTTGCCAAGAAATTATCACGACTACTATATGTACGTCTCGCTCTGCTGACTGCAGACAGTTCAGCTGCTATCAATTTCCCAAGGTATCAAGCGTCAACGTCCGGTCGGTGAAAAAAGAAAGAAAGAAAGAAAGAGAGAAAAAAAGAAAAGAAAATGGGTCCGTAGAAAAAATGGGCCCATGGCTATATCTGATTATGCTAACATCTAGCGCTGAATAAAATACTTCTGCGAATCTGATAAAAGTATCCTTCCGCTAAGTAAAGTTTGAAGATTTCTGATCGTCTTACATAATTCAGAGAGAAAAAGACATGGTTGGCTTTTTGAGCTCTTTACCCTGCAAAAAAAAAAACAAAACAAAAAAAAACAAAAAAAAAATATAATATATATATATATATATATAGTAGTAGCAAGAAAAATAATAATAATAATCGTTTTTACTCACTAATTTCTGTGGAGTTCTGTTTAAACCTGTCGTATCATTAAGCACTGAATCGGCCAAATCCTTCATTCTTTTTGCAATACCAGTGGTATTTTTGCTTGATATCTTAAGGAAATACTAACGGAAAAGATGGCCTTCACCACTTGTATTACGATTTTCTTATGAGATAAAATGCCTTCGATTATATATCTTTTATTATTTATTTTCCTTTAGTTTTTGTACAATATGGAGTTTGAAAGCCTTCTGAAATTGGAGAACATCAGGAAACGTTTTTATTTTTTTGTCACTTAACTACGGAGAAATCATTGTGGAATTAAACCTCATCTGTGTTTGTCCAGTTTTATCCTGAGTTATTAGCTAATTATATTGAGGTTCCAAATAAATAAGAAGCTTGTGATTAAGTGTCTGATGAACAAAGTTTTTCACTCCTGGAAACGAAATTCCAAAAATGCAGTGGGTGATAAAAAAAACAGTAGTCATTTTTTTAAGGAAGTGGTTTGAAACGAATCTACTGTATTTTAATGACAAATACTCAAGATACCGGAAACTGACTTCTTAGTAGTGTAGTTAGTGCATTTACGTTCAATGCCAAAAGGTTGTCTTCTCTTCCCACTTTCCTATAGGTTATTAAAACAATTATTTTTGTGTTTTAAATTGCTTTAGGGGGCACTGCAAACTTCCAAGGAACTGACAAACTTCTCGTGTAAGAACAAAAGATAAATCTATATCAAAATAGCTTAAAGAGTTGATTATATTATTTTGAATCCGCGTGCATAAATCTTCTTTTCCGCTGGATTATTTTCTCAGCCGGTCTTAATTCATTACAAACACATCCTAAAAAAGCTATCATTTAAAAGGTTTTTGCATTGCGACATGAATGCTTCGAATTTTAAGTAAAACATCCGGAAATCCTGCTCTACTTAAGATGAAGTATAAATATAATTTTATCTCAGCTGCTACTTCATTTGCAAGTGAGTGTCAGGAAACGTCGAAACCCGTGCCCTCGCCGCTTCTATTTCCCGCCATTTAAAAGTCCACGACTATTACAAGACAGATTCTTTGATGTTGCCGCTGAACTAGAATAAATAGATGAAGCTGATGAGAGTTTGATGATTTGATGAACTGATATCTTCAACTGACTCTCAGATTATAAAGGTTCAATACTTGAATCACTCTTCCGAATAACCCGGCACTGATAGCTCTTTCACTTAGTTCCTACGACACTCAACGACGCTTCCGTGTGGTCATTGGTATTTCACAAATTCAGTCAAATTGATCGGCAACTAAATTAGACGTACTGAATTGTGTAAGTCCGTTTACATTATAAATTTTAATTCAAGTTAGCGGTTTCGTAAAAGACCCAATTAGTCAATAACAAGCGTTTTATTGCTTTGTTCTCTAGAGCTTGCAAGGTCAAACCATATACTTGTAACATATGGTGGCGCCTAGCTTCTTACAACATCTCTGAGCCTAAGATCAGCACACTCATGATTAGAGCTCCATTTTATAGTAAGTAAAAAACGAGTCTCAGAGAGATACGAGCATAACGGGTTGGTGAACGTCCGAAAGTCTGAAAAAGCAGGCCATCTAACAGGGGGCTTACATGACTACGTATTTACTGAAGCCGGTTTCGCGCATCTAGGCGGCGTTCTTTCCTATATATAGGTCTCGATCATTTTGAATAAACATTCATTTGCGCCTGCTCTATATAAGGTAATGCAGGCTCTTGGACAATATTACTCAAGGGCTTTAGTTTAAGAGCACGTCGACTAAGAAATAGAGGTCAGTACAGAGGGCAAGCCAAGTAACATTCATTTGCTTTCTGCTTTAAGCACTTGAGATGCATTCCCTGAAGACTTTAACAACCTTGTTTTGTTTTATCACTGCGATCCTTGGTGTCTTGAAAACGGTGGCCAGTAGTCGTAGCTGTGAGCCTATTAAGGTCCCTCTCTGCAGACGATACCTGCCCTATAACATGACAATGTTCCCAAACGCACTGGAGCAATTGTCACAGAAACACGCCCGTCAGAAAATCGATCTTTTTCGCGCCATCGTTGCTATAAATTGTTCACCGGAGGCAGGCTTTTTCCTGTGTTCGTACCACTTGCCAATATGTGCTCCATCGTTCAAATCCAGGCCAATTAGACCGTGTAGATCAGTCTGCGAGAAAGTCATGTCCGACTGCATGGCAACGATTAGAAAGTATAAAGGAAAATGGCCAGAAGATGTTGTGTGCAAGGACCTCCCTTCCTATGACAGTGATGTATGTGTGACCCAAGACTCTTTCGTCAACTCGCCTGGTAAGTTAAGTAATATACTAGATTCATTCTTTTCTCTATTTTACAACTTATCTAGAAGTAGTATCTAATATCTAGAACTAGTAGTCTAAAAAGATAGAATATTCTTGTACCGAACAAATGATCGTATATATGGTCACTTAGATAAGGTTTCAATAGCTGCACTTTGATTTTGAATGTTAACTAATAATATATAATGACCTTGTGATCGGTTACAGCAATCGGGATTTTTAAAGCACTGACTTAATGTAACGGCTTTTGTGGTGTAGAAAACCGGAATTATTCAGAAGAAAGCTGGGAGCAGTGTAGAATTCGATGGTAGTGAAGGTGATGCACTATTTTGAATTCAGTCACAAATCGCTAGTCATAACTTTATCATCATTGGAACGCTCTAAAGTTTATTCGACATTCATGATCTTACATTATAACGCGTAATATATTTTTTAATGTTTAGGTATTTCCTGAACGTATTATGAACCATAGAAAGAAAGTCTGTCGTGCTAAAGTTGTTTTAAGTTGCCTTGGCCCTGATAAGGAGATAACAAAACAGCTTTCTGATTAAATGACGCACGCGCGCATAATCCTATGTACAGAGTTAAAGCTTCACAGGAAATTAAAACGTTTAAACCCGCCCTTCGTGATTCGATCAGGAAATACAGAAGGTATCTGAATTTGTGAACAAAATTTCCATCCTTGTGTTTTCACACCTTCACACCAGACGATCATTTCCTTGTCCATTTTACAATTCAAGTGTGCCAAATTGTTCATTTGATTCACTAAGAGATAACTTCTTTACAAGAGTCCGACAGCAAGTTCAGAGGCCACAGACTTGGCAATATAATGAAAACAATAAAAAAACAAAGAAAAATTACCGCTCAAAAGTTTTCACTTGAGTTAGGTAACTTTTAAGTATTTCCCCCATAAAACATCTTCCCAAAAGTAATGTACAAGAAAATTCGTGCTGATTGTTGCTTTGTAGAAAATACAATCATACAATTGTTTGACACTTTCTCTTGTAATTTGCTGTTAGGTAACTTTTAAGTATTTCCCCCATAAAACATCTTCCCAAAAGTAATGTACAAGAAAATTCGTGCTGATTGTTGCTTTGTAGAAAATACAATCATACAATTGTTTGACACTTTCTCTTGTAATTTGCCTTAGATTCTAATATACAGTTGATGTTTTGTCTTCCACTATTGATAAGAATTCTTGACAATATGTTTTTAGCCCCACTCTGCCTCAGGTTGTTATTAAGAAAAAAGCAAATTTGTTTAACAGCATATAATGAAGGCGGGGGTCGATTTTCTGGCCAATTTCCGCTGTTTGCAGTACGGAAAAGGTGAACGATGTTTCTAAGCGTTTGTCTGTTTTTCTTTTGTACGCTGCAGCCGAAGAATAGTGTTTAAGGGTGAGATCTAATGTAATACAAAGCTTTTATCCTCCTTAGGAGAGTTTGGGTTTTCCTTTGAAGCGTTAATAGTCAAGTCAATCAAGTGAACCTACAGCGAAAGAAAGCTTTTACGTCACGCGCACCGTCTGGCACTGTCGTCAGAGGAGCCGAGTATCCCAGATAGCTAAATTAGCTGAGTTTAATTAATTTAAAAGCCTTGTCGGAACATCCCGTCTATTGAACAACTATTTCAGCGATTATTTCTCCTCTGGACGTTTTCTATCCGTGATATTAAATGACCCAAGACGATTTTTTTTTTACCAAAACGTGTTAAATGTTTTCAACAAGTCTATTGAACGTTTGCTGACAAAAAATGCAATTTCGCTGTCAACACTTTTCTTGTTTAATCTACGTCTTAACGATTTATCTACCTGTAAAGTGGATTATGCGGCGATAAAATGCACGGATTTAAGGTTACAACACGAATAAAAATTGAATGATGTTTCTAACCTCAATCTCGGTTTTGCTTAACACAAAAAATCTGCTTTTAGTTCCGGTTTAAATTGTTTCGATTTCTATTTTTCAGGTTTATTAGTTTTTGCTTTCTCGTTGCCAAAGCAAAGCAAATTGTAATTAAATTCGTGCCTTAATTTTCGTGCCCCTCAGATTGTCTAGTATTGACCTCCATTACGATATTGAAATGTTGTTTACTTAGTTAAAGAAACTTATGGAAAGCACTTGATCCAAAATTTAGAATATTACCATAAAGCTATTATTGTCGTTATTAAAACACTGTGCTACGGCATTCCTGGAATTCTTGTAACCGTTTATGTTTTCTCGCCTTATGATGGCTCTCGTGTCGTGAGAGGATTTAAAACAATGTTACAATAAAACAGTTTATAATTGTTACATACAGATTCATTTGGCAGGAATCATTGTGTAAAAACAGGGCTCATAGCATGAGTATTAACATCTATCAACAACGTGAGGGGAAAAAGGAAAAACATATTTCTTTTATAACGGCATAAAAATATTTAGAGCCTGAATTTATGCTTCCTTGGAAGAAATACAAGAGAGGATTCCTTGGGTAAACAACAACATAATAAACATATTAACATTCTTTAAGGCTTTGAGTTGGATTTGTCACGCGATTGTTTAAGTATTTCGGATCACGCAATTTGTTTCCTTTTATTAGCTTTGTTTTTCTACTTCAATCAGTGACTAGTTCAGTTGCAAAGCCGAATTCATGGCCTATTAACTACTGACTTGTCTACCACATTATTTAACTCTTTGCCTCAAAACAAGCGGATTTTGACACCTGACCAACTGAGGTCTGATTGCGTGTTTATTCGCGTGATCAGTAATTTAAGTCCGAAGAAGTTTCCTATTAAAGAGAATAAAAGTATGGATTTGTGGTAAAAATATCAAATTTCTGCTTTTTAAATTAAAGTGAATATAAATTTCAGCCTACGTATTTCCTAGTGTTGGGCGCGGGAACCGTTATTGGTTTGTTTTTGTGTTGTGGTGTGGGTATTGTTTCTTATCTTTTCAATCTTTGTATTATTTCATTTGGTGATTGCACCTGTTCACTGCACCAAGAGACTACCGATGTCAGTGTTGGAAAAAGTCGCTTAAATAGCTTCCTCATTGAGTAGCTGCTCTATAAAATTGCTATTGATGACAAACGGTAACATACTTTTCGCTGATTACTTTTTTAGAGTTAAGGACCCCTTGAAAGGTGTTGCATGAACTTAAAATTAAGATCAGAATTAAGCAAAGAAGCACACATGATATGATGAGCACCTTACGTATGCGCACATCCGTATCAGCTTAGCAGTGGCCGCTGCGGACATCTGTGTCGTCCATGTTAAAACGCATCACCATGACAGAGTCATGGAGAAAGGGTCTTGCAACCACAGACCATGCCGTTTACTGCCTTTTAATGTTTACCCCCCGCCCCGCCCCGCCCCCCATTCCTCTAAGTAATACATAGGATCTCCTTAAGTCAATGTATTCTGCTTTGAGCCAATTGTCGATGTGTATATATGTTATCCTCCTTAGCCCCAAAACTTAAGCTTGCTTTTTGCAAAACTTTTTTCGTGTTTTTAATGACCGATCTGAAGTGAGGCTGTATAGTGGAGCAGATGAGGTCGACATGCAGTAGTTTATGAAGGCAGTCACTGCATGATGCTATTAAGCCATAAGATATGAAAGATCTGTGAGTCAGTTCACGCGGTTCGTGTCTCACTTTTGTAGACTTGTAAGAGTTTTTGAAAAGTCAAAACCAGTTATCCTAACCCCCTACGGATAAAATAGAGAATTTGGCGTCTTTTGTTATTTTTTTCTGTTCTGTTTTGTTTTGTTTTGTTCCTTCAGTCTTATAAGTAACAAGATAATACGTAACAGGATAGAGCGAAAAGAAGTTTACATGGTCTTTTCAATCTGCTTTTCTACTTAACAAACACTGCTTCTATTTCATTGGTTATGTCGCAAATTTAAAATCAGTGCGCTTAAACAGAACTTGCTATTAATATAATTATTAAAGTTTGTACTATGTTTGCATCCTCACAGAAGCGTACTACTCTCCAGCTTTTCAGAATCATTCCCTAGAGCCATTACCGCTACTCCTGGCCTAACTCACCCAGAGCCGATAAGCGTTAAACCCGCAGGATTAAATTTAAATCCATCACTGACGATTCTGTCTACTCTCTCACAGATTGTTGACTGAACTCACCCTCATTTTGTGTTAACATAACTGGGTCTCTAATTAAAAGCTCAATCATATGCTAAGCGCTCAAATTAAGTTTTTCTTGAAAGAAAAGTTTGATTAAAATTTTGCTCAACTGTATTAAAAATTATTGACCATTTTCCCAGAAACCCGGGTCTGGTGCCCATTAACGAAAGTTCTGTTGTTAAAATCATTTTAACATTTTAAATGTGGCAGATAATATGGTAAAACTATCAGTTAAGATACCAAAATTAACTGGTTTGTTAGCTTAAGGAACCGCGCCTGATTTCTTACGATTTTGATTTGAATATTTGATTTCGGCCCCGAAAGGTTATCGGGACTTACGAGAAACGGGCCCGTGATCTCTATGCATCATGGTTGTTTTACACGTACAACACAATTATTTCATTTAAATTATTTCAAAGCACTGGCAATAAGCGCATGAGCAAAACTAATCAATCACTGCGCTTTTGCACGTTGGTTGTTCATGTAAACCAACCTTAACAACGTCAACGTTACTCACATTAGATTTTCATGAAATTTGCAGCACCCCCGACACAGTCATCATGCAGTTGTACTAAACAGCGTCTTAACTTCCAGTTTTATCAACAGACTCGTTACACGTTTGGTAAGTTATCCTCCCTTTGAAATTTTAAAAACAAAACTTCAAAGACCGAAGCGACTTCCTTGTAGCAATTTGTAAACCTTTTTATGTGCTCTACCTGGCTTGATTGTTAATTGATGGGTTAACTATTAGAAACGTCAGTGAGGGTTGAAATTTGATATTGATAGTTGTCCTTTCTCTCGAAGCCAAAATTAATATTGCATTAGCTAAACTAACCAATAAAAAATAAAAAAAAGGTTATAGAAATTCCACTTGCAACTGCTTTAAGATATCCCATTATGCTAACTTCTCCTAAAATGTTGCCTATTTGTCTACAGTACTGAAAATGCGCATTAAATCAATTAGCAAGAATGGAAGTGAACGCATCATTAAAGGAAGAGTACACCGCGTACTACAGAAAGGGTTGGTTGATTTGAGGAAAGGAGATACAGTATATTTGCGCAGCAATACCACTTGTGACTGTCCTCAGATTTCCCGGATGAACGCGGATTACTTGGTGGCTGGTCATGAAGATGTGCGAGAAAAAAGACTCTACTTACTTCCGGCAACCGGCGTAGTGGAAACCTGGGAGCGAGCTTGGGTTTCTAAATTCAGAAAGTGGGAGCGGCGTTTTGCTGCCAAGCGTCTTCTTGGAAAAAAACGTAACAGAAAAAACAGGAAACGTCAAAGGAAAGGTAAAAAATGTAGAAACAATTCTTTTTTAGTCTATCAAAGCCGGTTCTGTGAGAACCTGTATAACATGAAAAGGCCAGAAGGAACTCGGGCAGAGTTTTTTGTGAACTTAATATGCTCGCCCGCTCGACAAACTAGGGCAGTAGACTGTTAGTATTCATCATAAATTATTATATAGTAATCGAGAACAGATACCAGCCACCGAAGTGGCTCATTAAGTGTCAAAACGCTTCGACTTTTGTATTACTACTTCTTTAATTTTATCCCAATGAGAGACAGAGAATATGAGATGCCAAAACTGTTAAAAATACTTCTTATAAATGAAAAGGGCATAAAACTTCTTATCTTTGTGAAGAAAGAATTCAAGGAAAACTTAGTCAATGGTACAAATTGACGTTTGAGGTTTGCCGTCAAACTGATTCTGAGTCTCTCCACTGAATTAATAACAAATCGAGCGAAACGTTACCTCTCCAAAGGGCAAAAGTTCCCATCATTGGTAATTGCAAGTTGAGGTTCATTTTGAAAATGAGGCGGACGGGGCTAACATTAAACTGAATGAAATTCAAACTGAGACATTTTCCCTTTATATTACGTATAGTTTAGCAGGAGGATTGTCGATTTTGATTATTAATGTTTTCTCAAAATAAAATGAACACTGCTATGCTGGAACATACCGTGTGACCAAAATCACGTGTTTAAGGCTCTTTTGTATCTATTGTACATTATTTTTTTCAGCATAAAGCTAAATCAAAATTAAAGTAAAAGAAATGACATCAAGCAGGGGCAGATAGCAAAAGGAAAGTTAGAGAATATGTCAGTGTAATGTATTACTCAGTGAACTAATGAAATTTCTTTTTTTTCTTTTTTACCACCAGCGTTTTTATCACCTGAACTTGGTAACTGATGCGTAGTTATCAACCCAAACGGGTCCGGCTACAAAGAAAATTTATTCAGTGGTTGGATTAGAAATGGAAACTAAAGGAACACCATCTTTTAAGGTCGAGACATATTTTTACTTTTCACTTTGAAATGGCAAATGTGACTGTTCATTCTCCATAAGGTAGAATATGAAGTCAAAGACAAAGCTAAACGAGAAGTAATTACTTGAAATATAGGGAAGAAGGAAATCTCCATCGAAAATATTAGAACATTGTTGTCTTCATCTATTCTGTGACAAATGTTATAGTGCATTTGGATCGTTCAGTTTTCAGTTAAAGCTACTCACGATGAAGCACTAAAACTGAATATCCCAGGGCAATTCTGAATTATTAACAAACGAGAAGAAATTGAAGTGGAGTTACACGTAACTAGCAGTTAATATTAGCAAGGCACTGTTGATCATTCTTAAACTAATGTTTTATTTTAGATAGGAAAAATCAGAAGTAATAATAAGGATAATTAATTTCAAGTTATTGATTTTTAACAGTAATTCCTTCCAAAAGATTTTGGGATGATTATTTTAGGTAAAATATATTATAATAATGAACAAAATATATTTTGTGTTTCCACAATATCATGTACAGAATCCGTATATATTATACGATATTTTACGAAGACGAGGCTATACTATAGCCGTATTGTGATAGCAGCATTCTTAACCAGCATACCGTGGTTTTCAATAGCCCACCTTCGATATTTTTAAATTCTACGACATATCTACGAGGCTTCAGAGCGCAAATTTGCAAATTTTTCAAGACTCCATTGTCTAGCAATTCCCAGGAGAGACTTGAGCACAAAGAAAACAAAACCAAATATAGAAATTTACCAGAAAGCCTCGGAATCATCTTAGAATTTTAATATATCGAACGTGGGCTATTGAGTGTAGAACGTTAGCCTGTTTTTTTGGTTTGTTAAGTGCAGTTTACCTAACAGGTATTACCGACCACCTTCTCATCCAATCAGAAGTAATAAAACCGAAATTTATCGTTTCCACCTACGCCTTATGATTGATTTTTAGTACTGTCTACAAGTATTTTTAGTGGTCAGCGGGACATCCTGGTTTAGGTTAACGATACTCAGTCGATTCCCGGCCTGATTACATCTCACTATTGCTATATAAATGAAGTTTTCTGTACTGTCAGCTGCTTTGATTAGCACCCACTTCGCGCATCTGCTAAAAGAGAGCTTGCTTGAGTACGAAGAATTTAAACTTTTCGTCCCATTTCCAAATTTAAAATTCTTCTCAAAAGCGATTGAGAAGGTTGCAGCTAGGCAGGATAATGACTACCTTGGAGATCTTGCATGAGACTAAACTGCTGAAACTGATTTGGTTTAAGAACACGGCGATATCCTGTGTGCGCTGGACAAAAAACACGGTGATCCTGCTACTATTAGATCTCTTAAAAGCTTTTGAAACAGTTGACCACTACATTCTTCTCTCTCGTTTAAAGACTCGATTTGGTTTCGAAGACAAAGTTTTAGCATGGTTCACGTTATATCTGGGCGTAGTCAGTTTGTCAAAGTTAAAAGTAGCCAATCATTGATGAGGGATCTACATTATGGAGTACTTCAAGGATCTTTGCTGCGCCCCAACTTTGACTTCAACTTCAACTTTATTTGATAAAAATATTGATTACAATAGACTGGCCCGCAAAATAGCAATTGCTAATCTAGGCGGACCAGTTAAAAGAAAAATAAAGTGAAAGTAAAGGAAAGGAAGGAAACTATTTTAAGTTTCAATGAATAATATTTCTATCATAGTTTTAATTAATTACATTACATTAGGTTATTTGAGTATGCAGCTAGGAAATCGAACACAACTTCTATACTGCTAACTTTGTGTCCAGGACTGATATAAACTCTTCATTCCTATTCATTTTATTTGTGACTTTGTTCCTATCACGGTTAAGAGTGTTGAGATTCACTAAATTCGTATTTTTCTAATACACTTTGGTACAGGGGTGGTAGCATTCGATCATGCCTGTCATTTTACAGTGTTTGGCTATTCGTGAGCAGCCACACAGTACGTGAGGTACTGCTTCTTGGTCATTCGAACATACTCGGCAACCGTAAAGCGTTCAAGTCAAATTCCTCTTATCACTGGGAAATGTGTAGGAAATCACGAAAATCTGTCAACGGAGAAAATAAGTCTTCCAAATCAAAATATTACTGTGAGTTAATTGAGGAGAGAAAAGGCGACTCGACTGAGATATGGAGAGCTATTAACGCGGTTTCCCGTAATCCTAAATCTTCCACGCCTGAGTGTATAGTTTCCAACGGCGTGCAACACACAGATCCCACGGCCTTCAACTCCTTTTTTGCTTCGGTTGACCAGACATTAGCCGATAAATTCAGCTATTTTTGCTCAAAGTTTTCCAAGTCTAAAGAAGTCCAGGTCGGTTCTTTTTGTTTGAAAGAGATAGATGAACCCTTTGTTTCAAGCAATTGCGTTCCCTTAAGCCCAAACAAAGCGATTGGTTTGGACAGAATCAGTGCACGGCTGCTGAAATGTGCGTCTTTCTCGATATGTTCTTCAGTCACCAAATAACTAAATGTCTCAATTTTCCCATCTCTAACCAAATTTCTCAAAAGAGCTGTTCACTTCCAACTTTATGATTACCTGAACACTAACCACTTGCTAGCAGACAAGCAATTTGGTTTCCGACCTAGTTACTACACTAACAAGTTTTGCCGATGACGTTCTTACTAACATGGAGGTTCGGAATCTCTGTGGAGCTGTTTTCTTGGATCTGTCAAAGGCTTTCGATAGTATGGATCACAGTAGATATATCCTGTTCGCCAACTTATCTTTCCTGGGATTAACTCCTTATGCTGTTCACTGATTTCATTCTTGCCTCATTCATAGGGAGCAGCGCACCTTATGCGGCAACGAGATCTCCGAACCTCTACTTGTTATTTGTGGCGTACCACAGAGGAGCATCCTGGACCCTTACTTTTTCTTGTTTTTATAAATGACGTACAGCTTACTTTTGTCAATCTCTGTAGCGTATCTCTTTATACTGTTTATACTGATGCTGTTTTGTTCTGCAACTACTCTAACATAAAAGATCTCAAGAATGCTCTTAATGAAGATCTGTCGAAAATAGCTTGTGGCTGAATCGAAACAAGCTTACACTGAATATATAGAAGACCAAGTCCACGCTTATCGGCAGCGATCGCAAATTGCGTCCTGATATCGCTATATCTGTCTCAGTATCAGACGTTAAGGGCGTTGGACACTCCAAGTACTTGGGTGTAACTTTGTCGTCAAATTTTACCTGGACGGAGCATGTTTCCTCGAAGATAAATGAACTCGTAGGGCTTTTAAGGAGGATTAAGAGTTTGCTCCCACGTAGTGCGCTATTCTTTTCAATGACAGCCTCATTCTCCCGGTCTTTGATTATGCCGACATTTTTTGGGGGGGATAAGGGCAATGCTGTTCTCATGAACAATTTACAACTCCTGCAGAACAAGGCTGCCAAAACTATATTAGACCGCCCTTTCTACTCCTCTGCTACCGACACGCTTGAAGCCCTTGGCTGGTTAACCTTGATGAAACGCAGGAGTTTTCATCGTTGCCTTTACTACTCCTTTACGTTTATAAATATGTTAATGAGATATCAGCCCACAGTATGGATCTATTGACAAATAAAGATGTACTCGGCTACGATACANCGCAAATTGCGTCCTGATATCGCTATATCTGTCTCAGTATCAGACGTTAAGGGCGTTGGACACTCCAAGTACTTGGGTGTAACTTTGTCGTCAAATTTTACCTGGACGGAGCATGTTTCCACGAAGATAAATGAACTCGTAGGGCTTTTAAGGAGGATTAAGAGTTTGCTCCCACGTAGTGCGCTATTCTTTTCAATGACAGCCTCATTCTCCCGGTCTTTGATTATGCCGACATTTTTGGGGGGGGATAAGGGCAATGCTGTTCTCATGAACAATTTACAACTCCTGCAGAACAAGGCTACCAAAACTATATTAGACCGCCCTTTCTACTCCTCTGCTACCGACACGCTTGAAGCCCTTGGCTGTTTAACCTTGATGAAACGCAGGAGTTTTCATCGTTGCCTTTACTACTCCTTTACGTTTATAAATATGTTAATGAGATATCAGCCCACAGTATGGATCTATTGACAAATAAAGATGTACTCGGCTACGATACACTCGCGACACAAAGATAACTTGAGACTGCCCCGTGAAACCAAAAACTGTTGAAACAAAGAACCCCAATTCAAGCTGTTAAAGACTGGAGCAATTGTGTTTAAGAAAAATCAAAGAACATCGAGTATTTTAAACTGAATTTTTCCAATCATTTTCAAAGCTGTTAAACACTGGAACAGTATTACGTCTTTTTAACAAAATCAAATTACATCGTGTCTTTTTATTAAACGCTAATATTTTAATCTTTTGAATAGTTCGTGGTGATTATTTAGATTTTTAGAATTTTTAGTGTAGGAATTTTTTTGTGTCTTTTTTTAAAATCTTTTTACATTATTTTTTTCCCAGGACCTCTCTGAAAATCACCCTGGTGAGAGAGTCTCTTGGTTAAAAATTATAATGATTATAATTATCATTATTATCAATGCTCCACGTTCTTATGATGAATAACATTGGCGTTGACAAAAAGCGGCAACTTTTTATACTAAAAAAAATGATAAATATAGCCATTAGATCAACATATTTCATCTTTTGTTGTAGAAATAAGAATTGGAATAGCCCAGACTTAATGCAATTTTGATTTTTTTTTATTTCATTTTTTTAATCGAATAATTCAATCTCAAGCAGCCAGTTGTAAATTACCTTGCTCTCTTGCTAAATATTCTTCAGAACAGCTTATTAAACATTTATAGACTATTATTATTATTATTATTATTATTATTATTATTATTATTATCCTCTTTTTCAGTGCTGGCAAGATGTCAAAGTAAATTGGCTTAGCAGATGACTGACACTCTTTGAGCGCAAACAGTTGTTGGAAATGAAGAGGTCATGAAGTAGGAATTGTGTCGAACACGTACAAAAGCGTATAATATGTGGCTCAATCATGAAATTCTGGCTTGTCTCTGAAACTCATATTCTGTTTAAAACTGTTGAATCAATGTGCTTTTCAGTTTAAACCTGTCAACAGAAATATGTTATATGTTCCAGGCTGTTGATATTGGAGTGCGCAGAGTGCTGTTTTTCCTGTTTAGTTTTCCTCTTTTTGCGTCGTCCCATCGGTCTCAACGCCTGGAACAGGCTAGAAATATGTCGAAATGTTATCCCTTCTGGTGGAGGAGTCAACTTTTTGATAGAAATATTTCAGCTTATCACTTGTAGTAGAGAGATAGTAGAGAGTTTCTTTCAAGTGCCTTTGTCAGAAGACTCCGTATTGTCTGATTTGAGATTAGCTTTGTTGTGCCTGCGTGATGGTTTGCGCAGAAGACTGGGGTAGTAACATCTTAATAGATAAAAGACAAAAGGGATGTAGCACAAAACGTTCTTCCACAACTTTCTATCCCCCCTTTTTATCTTAATTCCTCTCATAATCAAGACATAACAAGGGGGGATAAACACGATTTCTCACCATCTTTAAACAGTCTAAATAGACTTACTTGGGTTTAGGAAATGCAGATGTTTATTTTGGCAGTTGTCTTTTGAAGATTAAATAACATTAATCATCTGATATGTAGAGTATAATCCCTATACGTTGACCTTGTACACATACAGTTTTATCTAAAAAAAGCTAGCCAATCGATACGACACCAAGATAACAGTAACCGGACCAGATGCGTCGAGGGTCCATAAAGCAAACATGAACGCTCTCAGTCTTGTGTCTATAGTACTTCTCTGCCCTGGGATAATTTTCAGCGATGGTCATGCAATCTCGGTTTCATCTTCTCCCAAGTGCGAGGAAATCCGCATTGGCCTCTGCAAATCACTACCATATAACCGCACTCAGCTACCGAACACTTTTGAACAAGCGTCTCAGTGGATTATAAATCGCACTTTGTTGGACCTAGCCCAACGGCACAACTCAGGCATCTGCTCGGAAGATTTGCTTTTCTTTGTGTGTTCATTATATCTTCCCATATGTGTTGAAAACAATCGAATTCCGAAGCCTATAAAGCCTTGCCGTTCAGTGTGTGAAAAAGTGAAAAGAGACTGCCAGGCAGCCATCGATGACGTGACTGGAGAAGAATCACATCTGTTGCGGCACCTTCCAGAACTTGAATGCAACAAACTTAAAACTTACGACCAGGGAGTATGCGTGACCCCGCATGCTTTCAACCACTCACCAGCAAGTAAGAAGTGTAGCCGGTATTAGGCTTCTTTATTGAATGTTTATCATAAACAATTTCAAGAGTGGTTTTAACCCGCGGGTTTTAATTGTTGTGGGACGACTCAGTTCACCCTATTCCAATGCCATATTTTGGCAAGATAAGAGCCAAAAAACTCAGACAGTTTTTACCATATTCAAAAACACTAATTTCTCGTCAATTTTGCAATGAGGGTGAATTTATTGTTTTTCAGACTCAAGAGATCTTTACAAACTGTACTGCAGCAAATACAGACTAAATACCTTTTATCTTCATAGGCATACACAGGGGATATCCTTATACTTTTAGACTGATTCCGTTGGTTATATCTTATATTGTTGTCTGATTGAAATATTACTATTTTAAAAAATTAAAAATCATCGTAAAGGAAAACCTCATCAGAAGAAATTAGAATAAGGTAAAGGTGTTAAAATATTTCGTGTTAGACCACAAGCGTCATTGAACGATTAATCAAATCCTTGACAGGAATCTCTAGCGCTAGTCACCCCGGCACTGGAGATCAGTAGAGGATTTATTTTCCTGTCTTCAGTCGAAGTGTCATTTGTTAAGATTTTTTTGTTTGGATGGTGGGTATGAACGACCAGACCATAGATCCCCGACAAGAAAATCTGAAAAATAACGGCCTTGCTTGACAACGTTTTTATCCTGGGGGCATTTAAAATGACTGAAGCCTATTTATGAGTTTGTAATTAAAGGCCCAGGGGACTGTTGTTTCTTGAAAGTCCCGATAACTTTTCGTGGCCCTTGAAGCTGTTTTTTGTTTGCCGGATTTGAATTCAAGATCAATGCTTCAATAATTTATAAAATGATAATATGAAACGATCAGTTAACAAAACAAAATCGTCCCGTGTGAGCGAGGAACTTCGCTACTATTCAGCTGGTTTTGATTTCAAAATTTGCCTTCGGACCCGAAAAGTTACCGGATCTTTCGAGAAACGTGCCCCAGTGCTGTTACATAACGTATCGGCGAATAGTCACCTCGACTTCGAATTCGTCTCAGTTACTATTCGCCGATATTCACGTCGCCTGAGGCGGCTAATACAATTATTGTTTTAGTATAATTACATTGATTATTATTCGAGAAAATAAGATAAAAAAGAGACAGATTTTTGAGCGATTTTGGGGCTTTAAGATGTCGGTCGAGGGCGGCTCTGATCGACAACAAGCTGGTTTTCTTATAATAGCTGCCGTCGGTTTTCCTCACGGAAACGTACAATTTTTGCCAGACATTTATTTAATTCATCGACTTCCATTTTTTCTATTCATTTGTGAACTCTTGCTACGCTTCAAACCATTCTGTAGAACAAAATATTTCGCAATAGTTTCAAAAAGTTGCCGACACTTTGCAGCAAAAAAATGTAAACAAACATACCAGGTTTCAGTAAATTGTTATTTGCAAAAGAGAAATTTTATCAACCTACCTTGGAATAGCTTGACTTCAAATTTTGTAGCATCTTTTGTTTTTTGAGGAACAACATTTTCTTTAAATTGATCAATTTCCAACAACGAAACATCAGCAAATCTGGCTGCTATTATTTTGAAAACTGCTAGCCTTCAATGTTATAATCACCGCGCGGTAATGAAGCGAAGCTCCTAGCCAATCGTAGCGCTCAATTTTGGATAATCATCAATGTAATTAGTCTTAAAACAAATAGATGCATTTTAGAGATGATATAGATTTGAAATACATATGTACATAAATGTCATTCAGTAGCACTGAACTCTTCATTTTATTTCAGCTCGCCGATTGTCTTTATGTTCTCCTTTTTTTCCTTATTTTTGCAGAGCCAAATTCGACCCTGATAGCAGCTAACAGTGAGTGGCACAAAAAAGCGCTGAAAAGCATTTTAATTTACTTACTTAGTTACGCCTATAGCAATTATGACGGATTAGAAGACTTAGAGGGGTTGGAGCCTTGCCGAACAAACATAGTTTACCCCAGACATTTAGGTTTAAAAAATAAATCCTTTGCCTATTAATATACTGTTTAATAACACCGCATGCAATCAGCAGTCACAGTTGGTCACAGTTGATATTGCTGTGCACCAAGTAACGTAGTTGAAAGAACTGATCTATCAAGTATGTTGCTTTGAATACTGCAGCTACTCCTTTATAGCTCCGGCATGGTACCATAGTAAGCTATAGTAATAAAGATAACAAACACGCAGTAATTGGTAAAATTACCCTTTATGTCTTCTTTACATGGTGTTTTTAAGTTAAAAAGATGAGTTTATTTAATCACTCACGTTTTTCTTAAATTCAAAAGACACAATTTTTGTAGAAATTCCGAGCAAACTTAAATATTCGAATTAGAATTGAAGTCAATCACAGTAGTGATACAAGTACAGAGAAAAAAATAAGTGATTAGAAAGTAATGCACATTCTCTCGGCTTTTTTAATAATAATAATAATAATAATAATAATAATAACGTGAATATTTATACAGGATAACCTATCACTTCTAATAAAAAGAACTGTTATCAAAAGTCAAGGCTACAGTTGTCTTACAGTCAAGGCTAGTTGTCTTCATTAGCATTAGCCTTTTGGCAGTACCAAAGATCATACACTCAGTTTTGCCCTTTTTTAGATTAAGGACAAGCTCATTATCACGAAACCAAGAAGACAGGTTGTGACAATTTTCACTGAGATGCCTTTGAATGGATTCCAGATCTTTAGCAGCCGTGAAAATTACTGTATCATCTGCATAAGTGATGATTGAGGTTGACTGAAGAGGCGTATGCACATCATTAAAATGGATAGTAAACAATAGCTGACCCAATATACTTTTGTAGACTTCTACTTCTACTCGCCACTATTACTTCTAGATTACTATTGCTGGACACCGTCTCTAATGAACCATTTTAAATATCCAAACGCAGACATGTTTTGATCACAAACCGTGGGAATTGAGTCACGTGACCCGAAATTGAATAAATCTGCTCAGAAAATCAAAACACAGCTACACGATTACAAAAACCAAATCAGAGCTCATTCGATGACCACAATTTTATCACAAGTTTCTTGCTTGAATATTGAGAAACAGACGTTACATAAGACTAACCTTCACGCAAGAGCCTTCATGTTTAACGTTCTAAACATCACCATTCGCGATTATATTTTCTGTTTAGCGTGTTTTTTTTGCCCCGAAAAGAAGTTGTTCACCTTAATCCTGGACTGGCTTCGATATTCTGATTCTTGCTCTTTTGCAATAATGACAATAATTTTAATGTTTTATTTACCGTAAATCCATAAACTAGAAATATGGCTTTTCACCTCTATTGCTAACTACAGCTCCATAACTAACCTATTTATCTGCTAATTTATTGGTTTTAAATTATCATTATCAGCGAAATTATTCTGATCAGTGAAATGATGATGAAACGAAAACTTCAAAACTGGGAAAAATACTATAATAAACGTCACTAAGAATGCAGCCTTGCCCTCGCCTTAGTTTTAAGGTGCTTTGACGACTGACTCTTGAAATGCTGAAATCTGAGGAGTTCCTCAGGACTGCTAAAAAGAAATGCTATAAGAATGCGTCCTAAAAGAGATGGGTCTTGAGCTTTATCCCATAATACTCATTGCTATAAAGATTAGACTGTGTATCTTTACTAACCAATCAATCACTTTTTTTCTAAGCGTATCTATGTTACTTTCCTCGGCAGAACAAGGATTTATCAAGAAGCAGGATTTCTTAAATGCCAACTTTGACTTTGGTACGTCTCTTTCTTTCACTTCCTTAACACAATTTGTAGTCCTGGATTTTGATATGAAACATGGTAATTGTGAGAGCTTTATTGGTAAACTAGAGCTCGTTATAGAACAAAGAAAGAGCAATATAAGTTGTTTGAACTACCGTGCGAATCACTTCTTCTTGATCACGTTTTTATCACTTTCCGAAAGCAATCTATATTTTGAAATGTTTTTCAGGTTCATTAGGAATTTTGTCACACTGTGTGACCAATGAGACATCCTACCATTCATTTTTATTTAACCTGAGATCAGGCCTAATTTTAGCGGTTCTCATACATTCTCTCTAACGCCTACCGCTAAAACTGGTTCTGTTTTCGTTTCGCCTTAACCACCGGAATGTTATTACAAAGCGAAACGAGAATTGAGCCTAAATATTAGTAGTAAAGTAGGGATGAAATTATTCCTTTTTGAGCAGGAATCGCATTAAATTACACAGGATGACGTTAACGTCGATGATCTTATAGTCTTTTGTCTTTATCTCATGAAACAATGCGGTGGATAAGGTCATGTGTCAGTTTTATTACGTAAGTACTTTTTTTAACTGGTTTGCCAGCTTTCAGATAGATGTATGTCTTGCAAGTTAATGAGATTCCTGTGCAAACAAATGGATAATTCCATCCCTACTATACTACTAAAAATTCAGTTAAAATTTGTGTTTTGTTTTTCTACAGCGATAAAAGGGAAAATCCTGTCCATTATCCGAGTTCTCGCACCAAAAGGGTACAGCATTCAGTTTAATGTATCGCGTGTCATTGTCAAAGATGGTTTTCTCTTCCGTGGAAGTGTGGTTCAGATCTGGTCACAATATAACTACACTCGTTTTACCCATAGCTTCTCTACGCACCTTGAGATGAGCAGGAGATATGTGTTTCTTGGCCATGGAAACCGAACAAAGGGATTCACAATTGGATGGGCTTGGGCGTGGCCAAGAGATAAACATCTGGTGGACAAACTAAGAAAGTGGAAATCTCAATCAAGAAAAAGGAATTCCGTGGATTAAACTATACAATGGACTTATACAACATTCAACGTGCAATGAATGTACAGCGAAATTAGATCAACTTAATCTTGAATCTTAAACATGGTATTCGTGTAGCATTGGGGAATTGGACTGTAGTGGGATCAAGTTATTGCCAAAAAGCCAAAAGAGCAAACACTCTTGCAATATCCACGATTGTATGAGCGAAGAATTTTGTGAACTCCAAAGTTTAAGTGCATGATTTAAAAGTTTTTTTTTTGAAAGAGTGCATGTCACTTAGCTTGTTGAGGGCACCTTGACTTCGTCAGAAACCAAACTATTTGTTATTTTGAAATTTGTAAGGAAAAAATGGATTTTTTTGGCCTTAATTCATTAGGAATTGAAAAAATTCACCTGTTATTTTCTGTCAGGGTGTTTTGCACTGAAATGTTTGTGAGTCGTGTTCTAACAAATATTTATTGGCATTTACTATTTTAGTGGCGTTTTTACTATAGCCTGCTCACAGGCTAGGGCTATTGAATCTCTTGCCTCCATCTACTTACGTTTCAACATTTTAAATTGAATTTTCTGACTTTTGCAACTATTATGAAAAATCATCTCTTAAAAGTCCTTTTTTATGAAAATTGAAGTGTAACGGCAGAGTAACTTTAGAGAAAAACTCCTTGAGATAATGAGTTCGCAAACTATTTCACAAGTTCCTGATTTACTAATATCATCTTTCTCTTGCAATACTAAGACAAAACAAGTTTTTTGTTTGTTTGGAGAATAAAAAAGCTGGCCTTAGTTGTTCAAAGATGGATAACGCTTGATCCTCTATCCAATCGAGAACGTAACTGGTTTCACGTATCCTGTTTGAACAGACAGGGCCTGGTGGCAAAGGTGACTGAATGAATATTTAACTGAAAGATTTTGTTTCAAATGTAAATCAATAGACTGAGATTGACTGTCGTCTTTGCACAAACACCGTGTTTTGAAACAGGTCGATAGCATTTACTGACTGTAATTTGGCAGCTACAGAGGCAAAAGTTGGTTATTGGCCAGCGTTATAACAGGCCACTGTGTTTTTAGTTTTTAGAGAATGAGCTAGATCATTTTCTCTTGAGTTGGCCCATTAATCTTAGGTAAAAATTATAACTGTATAAACAGAACGGGCAGTTATTGCAACAAGTATTGAACGAGAGTAGTATTGAATTTCATTAGAAGACCACATCAGTTTCCTTAGTGGTTATACTGCTTACAAAATTATGTCACTAAACTAAATGTATGTTGTTTCAGTTCGTAGTGACTTGTTTCAAGAATATGTGACGTAAACGTAGAGCAAATACCGTTCACAATAGGGTTGATTTAACCGTGTAATGTTAAAGGCTATATTGTACGTAATTCTATTTTTGTGTTCTCTTTGTGTTTGCTGTTATATTGCTCGTTGTATTTGTAAAACGAATTTGACAATTAAATTTTGTTCTTTCTCTTGCGCATATTCCATATTTGAAAGGCTTAATGCATGCTTACATGCTTAACGTAAGGCTTAATATATATCCAGAGATTCCAACCCTGTCAACTTAAAAAAAAAGTGGTTTGTGGAGCGGCCCTCTAGTTAGGTTCAGGGGGTATGCTGTCCTGGGAAACATTTTAAGATATGTGCCTCTAAGATGCCGCTATTTCCTGCATTTTGAGATCACATTCAATGGAAAATAGTGGAGTTTTTAACAGGCAGTGAAAGCCAAGGCCTATTGGTCCCTATCACATCAGTGCCTCGACCAAAATTATCGCAGGCTCATGTTCGGATCCCAAAAGGGTAAAAATGGCTGAGAAACCACAGAAAAACGGCAAAGAATGTGGCTAATTAAGACTGATTAATCGAAGAAAACATCACCTTTCTTTGACTAGGAAGAGCTTCAAAAACCGGGAGAATATTAAGCGAAGACGGGAGCTGAGGCCGGAAATATTTGCTGAAAACGGGAGGTTTCCGGCTAAAATGGTAGAGCTGGAACATCTGAATATCAGGTTTTTGTGTCACTTTGATTCGTTATTTAACAGAAAGGACGCACTCACTTGAGCTGCAAGAGGGCGATCATAACTGTCTCTTCGACAGGCGAAGTAAGAGAGAGAGAAAATAACTGAGATATCACAGCTTGCTCAGCAGTTACTAGGTTAAAGATAGGAATTGCACACAAACGAACAACCACACCTTGTCTAGCGTTTTTAGGTAGTGTCAATGCTGAAAAAGCAAAACAAATGTGAGTTTCTTGCTCCTAATGCACTGATTTATTGCCATCCGCTTATAAAAGTGTAAATGGCCAATGGCTAATTAAAAAAAGTGATGTACAATGGTTTATGACCACCCTAGTGTTGTGACAGCTCTTTAGCGTTTTATTGTCGATTGTAAACCTGTATCAAAAGGTTATAAATTGCATTGAGTCAAATATATGAATTTCAAGCAATAAGAGATGATATCTCAAGAACTGCTACCGTATTTGCCATGATCTCAATGAGGAAATGGCATTCTTCAGTGGTTATGAATTTGCTACTTAAATGGAATCTCCTGAACTGCAAAACGACTCAAAAGGGTCGTGAAGAAATCTTTTTGTCAAAGACTTCAACGCATAGTTGAGTCTAAAAGATACAAAATAGCATGGTACTGTTGCAGGGGCAAATCCAGGAAAGATGGATTGGGTCGCTAGTCACTCTCCTTTTTGGTCGACTAACATATTTGTTAGAACATTTATTTTCATTTGCAGTTTATTAGTTATGCATGGTTTGGA